AGAGAATTTTTTATTTTTATTCTTATTTTTTTATTATTATTGGCATAAAAAAGAAAAAATCTATGCTATTAGAAAGATATATTATCATAAAAGGCTTTAATCAATCAAAACTTTCCCATGACTTTTGATAAATGCAATCTAATTGACTACTGATTTTATGATATCGGTTGTTGGTTACAGGCTTCTTTTAGTATGATAATTTTTTAATATCGTAATCGAACCCATGATAAAAATTTTAGATAACAATAACCATCACAGTGCTCATAATTTTGGCAATGAAGGCCTTGTGTTGTAGAAACTTTGAATGGCTGGAAAATCTATATTGCTAGAAAGATATAATACGGAAAGGGTTTTGATAAATTAACACCCTCTCCCTAAGGCTGTCAGCGGGTCAGTTCTGGGTTAGAACCAGTTAGAATTGGTGCTGGAACGGATAGAAGAATTCGTTGACTCAGAACCCATTCAAACCCTATAGAATCTGTAATTCTAAACCCAGAATCAAATTGATAAGTTCTTGCGACAATCGGGTCTAACCTGATGGACCCGATTTTGATATATATACTAATAATACCCTTATTATATATAGGGGTCAGGTGGGTCCAAATTGATTSGAGACAAAGTGGACCTAGTAATCGAAATTTTTTTTTTTAAATCGGAACCAACCTATCAGAACAAGTTCTAGAATCAGAATCGCCTCAATCGGTCTGATTTCTTCGGATCTATCAGGTCTGACCCAACCCATTGACAGTTGATTGATTGTTGTAAATTTTTCGATATCGTAGTTGAACCCTTGATGATACCTTTTCAAACTGTTGGAATCTTTTCAGCGTTTCACAATTCATTTCGAACTCTATTTTAAGATGTTGAGGCTAGCCTTTTTAATAAAATATCGATTACATGGTTCCTTAGACTTAGGAAAAAGCAATAAAAATTTATTGAAGATCATAGAAATCTAAAATTGTAGCTTTTACTTACACTTTTTTTCATTAAATCATGAAAGGGAAAAAAAAGGTTACCTTAGTACTTAGTTGAATAAAAAATGTTGGCATTGCATGGAAAGTAAAGAAAAATCATTTGAAAGATGATAATGACTTGCTCCATTAACTCTTTTAATTTTTAAGGGCAAATTGTAGGAGCCCCTAAGCCCTTGTACGTCATATGGCGACAAATAACCCCTCTTGTGTCTTGTCGTCATTCTCTCCGAGGCGTTAAAGCCTCATGTGTTTTGTCAGACATTTCTAAAATCCTAAAATACCTTTAATTCTTTTCTTTATCCATCTATGTCCATATTGATATTTCTAGAAATGATTTTTCTAACCAAAGATCTGGACCATTGAAACTCATGTTTTGAGGTTAGTCAATTAATCTTGAAAATCCAAGTGATATACTCTGATTTAAAGGAATCTAGGCCATCGAAGTGGTATCGTGAAAAACATACCGAATTATCAAAATTTAAATAGGATTCCACGTGATATGAAAAATATATAATATCTGAAATATTTTTGACCAATCAATTGGAATCATAAAATAATAGCTAATGARGTGGTATTTATCAAAATTTATGAATGAATTTTAATTGGTCAAAACTCTTTTAATACTATATCTTTTCCGCATCGTAAATTTTCCCTTTTAAATATTACAATAAATGTGAAATGATGTATAAAATTAATCCAAAAAAATGTGAGTGATGAAAGTGATTAAGGTGCAGTGAGGTTCAATTAATGTGGACACATGGGCCACCAAACAATGTGCTAAGGTTTCAACATTCAATTAATCTTATCTATTCAACTAAAGGGCTAAATTTTCTCAAAAATGGGGCTTCTAAAAAAAGAAATTTCTAAAAAATATAAGCCAGATAAAGTGATTTGTCAAATAACACCTTTAATTTGGGCCATCAGATTTAGGGGTGCAACTTGGATTGGGCCCGATTTAGCATTTTACACACATTCAGCCATTCAGGCCGAATTCATTCAAAATTGGACAAAAACACCAACCCGAACCTGCCAAAGTTGCATCTTTAAAGCTCTATTTGGCATTCCTAATTATTTTAAAGACTTATTTCCTTTTTGCTGTTAAAATGCCCCTATGAATACTGATTTTTTAACTGCAAAACAAAAATGTTAAAATAAGGTTTCATCTAATCTTGCGCATCCAAATGATGTATCCTATTTACGAAGACTAAGACCATCGGGGTGGTCTCCTATTTTTGTTTCAAATTTTAGCTTATTTTGTTTGATTTCTGTACAAATAAAGTAAATTAAGACATGAAGCATAGTAAAGTAAAACCCAAAACAAAATTAAAGGAGAATTTGCATTCTTTTATTTACACTCCTATGCATTTGTATTAGTACAAATAAGTTTGTATTGATGCAAAATTATAATAATATAAATGATTTGGGTGCAAAATTTGATTTATTTTTATTTCAAATTTTATCTTATTTTATTTGATTGCAGTATAAATAAAGTAAAATAAGATCTGGAGTAAAATTAAACTAAAATTTACATTATTTTCATTTACRCTCCCATGCATTTGTACTAATACAAATAAAATTGTATTACAAATGCAGCCTTACGTACAGATTAAGCCAAATATTTGGACTATTAAGACGTCTTCCTAAGATCAATCAATTAGTCTCATTCATCCAAATTATGTACCAGGATTTCATCTAATTCGGCCCATACAATATTTATGGATCTAACCCATTAAAGTGGTTTCAAACTTTCAATATCGACCATTATTTATTTATTTTTTCTGTCAACCATCCAATTTTTATCAAGATTTGAACCAATTTAGACTGCCCACATACAAAAACTCAATATGTCTTTTAACTATTATAACTACTAAAATATCTTCCTAAAAAAACACGCCAAATGAACCCCTAGTCTTGCCCATCCATCCAAGTAATGCATCAAGTTAAGCCAAAGATTTGATTTATCAAAGTAATATCTATAAAAATCAATGGATCTCATTCATCTAAATGACGTATCATCATTTTCATGAGACAAAATACACTATCGCTATCATTGACCATCTTCAAACATATTTTAGTTTCAAATTTTCTTCAAAAACATAAAATAAAAAGACAATTACCTAATTTCCCACCGAAATAATGAAAAATGCAGCTATCAGCATATTTTGTCTCCTACTCACATTGCTTCCAACCTCATTTCTTCTAATATTATATTAGGTTAAATTAGAGAAGGGTTAAGTATTGTAATAAATGCTACAAGGACTAACCGTTAAACCAATTACCTCCTTCTCGTCCTTGTTTGGAAGTTGCAAAATTGTCTTTTAACATTTTTCAATATGATACAAAATATCAAAATTGCCCTTCTAAATTTCATTGGACCTTACAAGTTTATAGAGTTACATCTCTTTTCAATATGACGTAGGGAAATGGGTGAATTTAGGGGTGGTTACGAGTTGAGCTTTTTACGAGCTATTCGAGTTTGGCTCAGTTCGGTTTAAACCGAGTTTCGAACCGAGCTTAAGCTTGATATATAGGCTCATTTGCTAATCGAGCCGAGCTCGTGCTCAGTGAAGCTCGACTCGTGAGGCTCGCGAGCCTAGTATAATAAATAAATACTTTTTTATTATATACATACATACATGCATACATACATACATACATACATACATACATACATACATACATACATACATACATACATACATACATATAATAAATAATTTTTATTTTATATATAATATTTTTTATTTTTATGTATAATAGTAAATAATTTTTATAATTCTTATTTTTTGTATGTATAATAAAAATATTTTTTATATGCTATATTTTTTATTTTTTATATGTATAATAACAAATAATTTTTATAATTCTTAATTTTTTGTGTGTAAAATAAAAAGTATTTTTATATATATTTTTTATTTTTTCAAAAAATGGCTTATAGTCGAGCTCGAGACGAGCTTGAAATTGCGAGCTTTGAGTCGAACCGAGCTTGAGTCTAATACAATTTCAACGAGCCGAGCTCAAATAATCAAGTATTCAGTTCGGCTTGAATCCACCCTTGTGGGTGATACAAGTTAAAAGTTAGAAAGTTCTTTTAGGTGTAAGTGTATTTTAGTTAAATCTTCATATGAATTGATATACATATATATATTAGTTAAATATCGAGGGTAAAATGAATATTTTCAAAAAATTAATGTATTATACCAACATTTATCAATTTGGGACATTGATGAAAAAGAAATAACTGCATTTTTTTTCAAAAACTATATAGGAGATTTTTGTTAATGATTAGACTGTGATACGGGAAGACATGATGCCAGTAAAACATATAGCCAATCAACCAGTAAAGTATCATAAAAAAGGTGACCAAGGGTATTCATCAAATGGCCAAGGAGTTAAAAATCTCTCATGTTTGGGTCGAAGGTGACACTCGAAAGGTAGTCCAAGCCCTGTTGAATGATCGTCCGGATTTCCCTTGGCGGTTATTTCCCATTATCACTGATTGCAGGGACCTTTTTGAAAGATTTTCAGTCTTCAGTTATTTCCTTTAGGCCTCGTGCAGGCAATAGAGCAGCACATTTGATCGCTAAATTTGCTTATAATCTCTCAAGGACCTTTACTTGGTCGAATCCTCCTTGATTTCGTTTTGCCTATACTTGTTGATGATATGAATGAATGATTTGGCTATGGACTTTTTCAAAAAAAAAAAAAAAAAAATCGGGGGTGCAAAACTATTCGATACCATGTCTTTCGGCTATAATAGATATAGATTTTGCTTTTGTTAAAGTGTAAATTGTAAAACCTCATGGGAAGATTTTATTAATGAAAAATCTTTAATAACGGAAAGATATCGTACCGGAGAGGTTTTTTATATTTTATCCAAGAAAAAGGGATTCCCCGTAATCTACGGCTCTACGCTGTTTTTTCACTTGTTTTACTGGCAAGTGATATAATAGCCAAAAAAACGAAAAACAAAAATTATTACGAAGCATACGTGTAATTATTCCTTTGGGTCACTGACTCTGACTCCCTTCCGTTCTTCTTCTACTCTGTATTCTATTCCTTCTTTGTCTCTTATYAGTGCTGCTGCTGCTGCTGCTGCTCTCTCTCTCTCTCTCTCTMTCTATCTCTCTCTCTCTCTCTTCTTCAACATAGATCGATTGCTTCTCTGAGTCTGAATTGCATCCCAAGGTACCCTTGAAAACCCTAATTCTCTAACGCTTCCTCTGTGGCCCGAGAAGTATTTCTTCAGAAATTCGCATAGATGATACTTACTCTCAATTCATATATGCATCTCTGCAACAGCTATTCAAATTTTTAAGTTTCCGCTTTACGAATTAAGAAGAAGAATCCAGATGCTGGACTTGATACCTAACGCTTATGCTTAATCTCTTTCGTCTTTCCTTCAGTTCCGTTGGCTGCTCTTTCGACTTCGCAAGTCAGAATTGGACTCTGATTCGGTCTTTTCCTTGGTTCGAGCTTCAAAGCCAGACAAATAAGTCGTGTTTATGCGTTACTCACCTCGAGGATTGTTTGTGAGTATATTGTAAAGTTTCTGCAACTTTGAAGATTAATAACTGGTTATTGTTATTAGTCGCACCGGATCCTGTTGTTTATTAGACGTTTTTTTTTTTTTTAACCTTGTGTGTATGTATTACTTCTCGATGCAGAGTTTGATTCGAATTTGGGTTCGAGACGTTCTTCAAATGGATAGTTCAGAGACATGAAAGTGCACACTATAAAGAGAATTTGACTCATATATTGAACTCTACTGCCTACTGGGTTATTTGTACCTTATTGTTTGGTTATTTAATCGAGGTGGTGGCTATGGCTTTAGGTTCTGTTTTAGTTAAGCTCGGGATGTTGTCCACATCAGATCATGCCTCCGTGGTTTCTATGAATTTGTTTGTGGCGCTCCTTTGTGCTTGTATTGTGATTGGTCATCTACTGGAGGAGAACCGATGGATGAATGAATCGATTACGGCCCTAGCGATTGTGAGTTACTGATCACTTTTCTTTTCTTTTGTTGTCTTCATGAATTATGGTTATGGAAAATAGCAATTGATTTCTGCAACTGATGGCAGGGTGTGTGTACTGGAGTCGTTATTCTACTAACTACCCGGGGAAAGAGCTCGCATATCTTAGTCTTCAGTGAAGATCTTTTTTTTATATATCTTCTCCCACCTATCATATTTAACGCGGGGTATGTGGATTCTTCTGGGACTTTTGCTTTAATTTCTTTTTGGGCTAATCTCTTTATCTTTTTCTATTTTGCATCCGAGTTATGGTGGTTGTACTTGTATGGGATGATCATTCTGTTATTTCTTTTATCTTTATCCTATGCTTATCCTATTATTAGTTTCAAGCGTTTTCCTAAATCTTTCTACTGGCACCCCCTCGCCCCTCCTCACTTCTTTTTCTCTATCCCGGATAAAAAATGATGATGCACGTTTTGGCAGCTCCCGACTGGCAGGTGACTCGGTTGCCTAGCTGAACAATCCCTACCTGGAATGTAGCTTCGGTGCCTAGCTGAATGGTTCCTACCTGGAAGGTGGCTCGGACGCCTAGCTGAATGGTGATAAGCTGGAAGGTGGCTCTGATGCCTAGCTGAATGGTGACAAGCTGGAAGGTGATTGGGACGCCTATCTGAATTGTACCTACCTCGAAGGTGGCTTTGACTCCTAGGTGAACTGTCCCTAGCTAAAGGTGGCTTTGACTCCTAGGTGAACTGTCCCTAGCTAAAGGTGGCTTTGACGCCTAGCTGAACTGCCCTAGCTGAAGGTGGCGAGCTGCATAGTTTATTGGTGCGAGTTGTAAGGAAACAGTGTCAGAGTGCCCGGGCTTCTTTACCCGGGGTGGGCACTCTGATGCTTAAGTTAGCGAATGCGAAGATTTTGTGAGAGAGCTGAAAGTAAGAGAGCTACGTTGCGCATCTACCTTCTGATGTTGGAGGTAAGGCCTTTATATAGGCATTGTTTGGCATGGGCATCACGCACTGCGTCCAAGATCTCCGGGAAGACGTGCCTAACTAGTCCGAAGTCCTCGGAGGTAGTTGTGCATGTAGGCCGACTTTTGCGCCTTACTTAGTTTCCTCCGGGACATTCGGTGTGAGAACTGACTTTCGAGAGACCTAGGAGTGACGGGATGCATGCAGAGTTGGTCGGCGAGCACATCTCGCAGGTCGCCACCTGGATCTCAATTAGGTCGGCAAGCCTTCGAGGGAGGTCGCTCCTCACGTCAAGGTCACTTAGACCGGTACTGATGAGGTACCACAGGTCAGCCTTGGACGAGGTGCTGCTAGCCGCTCTGAGTTGTGGACGAGGTCACCAGCTAGATTTCCACTAGGTCGGTGGCGGAGGTAGGTCGCCAGGTCGGCGGCAGAGGCAGGTTGCCAGGTCGGCGGCGGGGGCAGGTCATTAGGTCACCAGGTCGCTAGGTTGCTAGATGGGACTCCATAATTTTGGATAAGGCAAGTCATCGCCTGGGTGATGTTGGGATGTCATCCAACTATTCTACGATGCCATGGTCATGATGTCAGTGGAGGGACAAATCTGCCCTCATAAAAAAAGGAATGATAATAATGGATAATCTTAACACATATTGAATATTAGCAAAAAAAAAAAACACATATTGAATATTAGTGTGCTTATTGTGAGTAAAGGACTTGGCGAACAAAGAAGACAAAAGATAGTTTACAGACTAAAAACTAGCTTTGGATTTTAAGTTAGAAACAGGTAGGTGGCAGTGAGTCCTGATGTTTGCTTTTACTTGGAGGATCTTGATTTTAAGTCACTATTAACTGAACTTGTCACTAGAAAATAAGGGATTTAATATTACATTTTCATTTTCTAGTCTAACCAATACAAACTAATATAGAGTATGCCCAACTCAAACATCTCTCCTGATTCAGACCAATGGTTTAAAAAATTGAGGCTTGTACCTTGAGGCGAGGTTCAAGGAAAATGCATCAGTCTCAAACTTGAGGCTCATATTTGAAAGTATAAAGCATATGCCTCACACCTTGAAATGCCTTGTGTATTATTTGCATATTTATATGTATTATCCATATCTCTGTATGTATATGTATGTGCTGTTTCTATGATTTAATGTGCTGTATCTATGATTTAATAATGTGTTTAAAGCTATTATGAGGTATTATTTATCATTTAGAGCTTCTTAGTAATTAATAGTATGGATGCGTCGGCTTTCAGTAAAGCTCCTAATAATCTTAACTCCTTTCTTTACATGATCATTTATTTATTACAACTGAGTAATGACCCTTATTCTGTAAATTGAGTATTCCTATTTCTTCTCATTTTCCCTAGTAATCTGTCCTGTCTCACCTCCAACTCTACAGATATGATTTTAGCTAAGCTTGTAAACTTAGTAGGTTTCATTTATTTTAGTAAAACGAATAAAATAATTTTATCATTGCAATCTTCACGCTTTTCTGTTCTTTCTCTCTCTACTAGTTATATTGTGGTTGATTCTCACCACATGGATGAATTAGTTATAAATTTAAGGTATAATAGCCATTGGGCCATTTCTTGCTTTTTCTCTTGAAATTTGGCTGAGTTTGGAGGTGGATGCCACTTCTTCTTTACTTAGGATTTCATTTTCTTTTTTCCTTTGTTTTATTTTCTTCTGCCTTGTTTTATGTTTTTTTTTTTTTTAATGATCCTAACAGTCTTTTAAAAGGACTTGGTGATTTGATCCTTTGTCCATTGAAACCAGATTCCAGGTGAAAAAGAAACAATTTTTCCGCAACTTCACAACAATCGTGTTGTTTGGTGCTGTTGGTACATTAATATCTTTTGGCATCATTGCAACAGGTAACATTTTTCAGTTATATGTATTTAATTATTTCACATCGTATAATTTCCACATTCAATATCAATAAGTAGAGGGAAAAAATTGAAGTCATTGGCCATGCAGACTCATTACAGTGAAAAGCATGAAAATTTTAATAGATAATTATTTCCATTTTATCTATATACGATATAGATGTGATTCAAACCAATAAAATTAGTAGAATATTTCAGAATAAAGCAAAAGAAATTAGGGAAGAAGGAGACAACAAGAAGGAGGAAGATTGGAGAAGAAAGGAGAAAGAAAGGAGGAGTTCGATAATCTCCTCTTTCTCTCACTAATCTTTTAACAAACTTGCTTAAATTACATAATTTACAAGATTGCCCTTAAGTAGGCATCCACATCAGCACTATACTTAGAAAACATAAACAAGATCTAAAGGCCCATAAAGAAAAGGCCCAATAAGAAAACATAACAAGAAATTACTAATAAGAAAGACACTAATGGGCTAGGGCCCATTCGGCCTAGTCTCTCTACACTCCCCCTTAAGTTGAGCATAGATATCCATCATGCCCAACTTGCTTATATAATGAACTAGCTTTCCTTTAGGAACACCTTTTGTCAAAACATTAGCCAACTGTTCTTCAGAAGCAACAAATGGTAGACAAAATTCTTCTGAGGCAACACTCTCTTGTATAAAATGCCTGTCAACTTCAATGTGTTTAGTTTTGTCATGTTGAACAAGATTGTGTGCAATGTTGATAGTAGCCTGGTTGCCACAATATAACATCATTGGCTTCTCACAGTCTATACCCAATTCATCTAAAAGTGATATTAACCACAAAAGTTCAGAAACTCCATGTGCCATTGCCCTGTACTCCGCTTCAACTGAAGATMTTGCCACTATAGACTGCTTCTTACTCCTCCATGATACAATGTTCCCTACTACCATAGCACAGTAACCTGAAGTAGACCTCCTATCATCAATACATCTGACCCAGTCAACATCAGTTTATGCTTCCAACTTCATGTGTCCATGCTTAGCAAACAAGATACCTTTCCTTGGAGTCCCTTTTAGATAGCACAAAACTCTCTCAACAGCTGCTAAATGTGTATCTCTGGGAGAACGCATAAATTGGCTGATTACACTAACTGCATAGGAAATATCTGGCCGAGTCATGCAAAGGTAAAGTAACTTCCCAACCAGTCTCTGCAACATCCCCTTATCAGGCAACAGTTCACCTTCAGTGGCTAACAACTTATGATTTAGGTCAATAGGAGTAAAAGCAGGTCGAGCCCCCAGTTTCCCARTCTCTGCAAGGAGATCAAGAACATACTTCCGTTGAGAAATGAAGATACTATTCTTAGATCTGACAACTTCAATCTCTAAGAAATATCTGAGTTCTCCCAAGTCTTTAATTTCAAACTCAGTGTTAAGAAAACTCTTGAGATGAACAACTTCCTGAGTATCATTACCTATAACCACAATATTCTTGACCTACTTGAAGAAATGTGACTGTTAGGTGCTAAACCAGTCGAGACTCCTATGGAACTGAATGTCAAGTTGAGCATTGATGCAGGTGAAGAGTTTGATGATCTTGGAAGATACAGGAGGTTGGTGGGAAAGTTGAATTATTTGACTATTACCCGGCTAGATATATCATTTGCTATGAGTATGGTGAGTCGGTTTATGCAACATCCTCGGATTCCTCATTAGGAAGCAGTTCTAAGGATTGTTAGGTACCTAAAGGGTGCTCTAGGTCGTGGTTTGCTATACAAAAGTGGAGGGACTCTTGAGATAGTAGGGTATACAAATGCTGATTGGGCTGGTTCTATATCAGATAAGAGATCAACTACACGGTATCGTACCTTCCTTGGTGGCAATCTTGTAACTTGGAAGAGTAAGAAACAAACAATGGTGGCAAGGAGTAGTGCAAAAGCTGAGTACAGGGCTATGGCTCATACCACATGTGAACTAGTATGGTTGAAGAACTTGCTACAAGAGATGGGGTTCTCAGTTGACAAACCCATGAGACTATACTGTGATAATCAAGCAGCTGTTCACCTCTCTTCCATTTCCAGTCTTCCATGAGAGAACCAAGCATATTGAGGTCGATTGCCACTTTGTAAGAGAGAAAGTGATAAGTGGAGTGATAACCACATCTCATGTGAGCTCGGGGAATCAGCGAGCAGATCTCTTTACAAAGGGATTGTCTCAGGGTAGAGTAGATTATATTTGTGACAAGCTGGGACTATATGACATATACTCTCCAGCTTGAGGGGGAGTGTTAGAGTTCACAGAATAGGGGTATTTTGGTCATTTGAATTTATCTATTTGAGAATGAAAGGTCTGTTTTATTCATGTTTAAGTTGTGTGTTCCATCACTTATGAGGGACGATCTTGTAACTATGTTTATGTGAGACAAATACAAGTGGGTCGACTAGAGAGGACTGTTTTTTTCCTCTACTGGCCGAACCCTTCTTCTTCTTCTTCTTCTTCTTCTCTACTTTAACCTAGAACTGAATAGGGTTTTCACAATTTCAAAGAGTAAGCACCCACCCATGTACATTAAAGCATTATACAATGGGATATACAATTGTATGATATATGTCAGGAATTACAATTTATTTTATGTTCTATATGTGTTGCTTTGTATGGTATTTGTGTAAAAGCTTTGTGAACTGACAGCCAAGGATTAAAAGAGTATCCACTGCCTTTTTCTTTATAATTGCCTGATTGCCTCTCTGCATGTTTTATTTTAAAAAATACAAGTATTCCCGACCATCCAAACATTCTACAAAATTACCAATGGGGTGCTTTCCTATATAATCTTTTCTTTTCTGTCAAATCATAAGCCTTTAATTAATTTTTCCCACTTCAGACCATGTTTTCTTTGGTCTTTCCCTTGCTCTTTTAGAGACTTCACCAATTCACTCCTCACCGTGTATAGTCATTGGTCATCTTTACACATGACTAAATCATCTCAGCTGACTTTTTTTTTTTAATATCAATATTAGCTGACTTTCCCTCATATTGTCACTAATTGAAGCTACTTCTGTTGCATGGTTTTCTGATTCTGTCCTTTCTAGTCTTGCCACTGATCCATCTTAGCTATACTAATTTTTTTGAACATGTTATTTTTGATTGCCCAGAGCATCCTATTTCAGTAAGGATCCATACGAATAAGTAATGAATGGTATACTACACAGACAATGATTTTGTATGTCATAGAGCAAAAATAAAATACAATATGGTGTACAACATGCGATAAGGTGCTTACCTTGTTCTTTTCCTTGCCTAAAAAGGTGCTGAACATGTATGCAAAAAAAGGTGTAATATAAAGGTGCTACTTACAAAATGCCTTTTCATGTAGGTGTTGCTTAGGTGCCTGCCTAAGCATTGCCTTGATAACTATGCTTATGTCTTTCTTTCATTTTATAAAGAAGGATGAAAATTATAATACACACAATGAAGCTGCCAATATACCTTATATTGTTTCTTCCACAGGCATTTTTTTGGGTGAAATTTCTTTCTGAGAATGTTTATTAGTTGGTACATAGGAAAATAAATGTAAAGAAAGAAAAGAGCAGATTAAATTGATTAGCTTAGAATTTCCAAGTTGCTAAATGCTGGTGAATCTTCAAGATTCTAAGCGGCAGTTAATATCAATATTGAGTTATGTTCATGTTCTTTTTTTAATGTTTACTACTAATAATTATTCTTTTATTATCTATTCATGGTTGAACTCATTGGTTCTTAAACTCAGGTGCTAAACAGTTTTTTAAACGATTGAATATGGTTTCGCTTGACATTGGAGATTATCTTGGTAATTTCTTTAGAATCCACTTCCTATTTCCTATCTCATGCTGTCTTTTGTTTGCAATTCCCATAGATCTTGTATTCTTACCTGTGTACCACCTTTCTATCTACAGCAATTGGAGCAATCTTTTCTGCAACAGATTCTGTTTGCACCTTGCAGGTATGGGGAGTGCTTGAAATTGTAATATTGTTTATGAATATATAGCAATTTGCGGTTAAAGTTATTTCACCTGATGGTGTGTAGGTGCTTAATCAAGATGAAACGCCCTTACTTTATAGTCTGGTTTTTGGGGAAGGTGTTGTTAATGATGCTACATCAGTTGTGCTATTTAATGCAATCCAAAGCTTTGATCTTTCTCACATCAATTCCTCCATAGCCTTGCAATTTATTGGCAACTTCTTTTATTTATTTGTATCAAGTACCATGTTAGGAGTGGTTGTAAGTCTCTCTCTCTCTCTCTCTCTCTGTTGTGTGTGGGTGTGCATGTCATGGGGTTATTTTAATGCTTTGCTTTTTCTCTTTTGCAGACTGGTCTGCTCAGTGCATACATTATCAAAAAGTTATATTTTGGAAGGTTTGTAAGTGGGAGGACATTAATACTTGCCTTTACTAATTTCTGCAGTTAGGGGTGAGCATTTGGTTGATTCGGTTAAAAACCGAATCAAAACCGAATTATAGGAAAACTGAAATAAATCGAAATTTTTGGCTTGGTTATTTCGCTTAAAACCAAATTTCAGTAATATATATTATAACATATAATATATTATATAATACATTTAATATAATTATATTATATTATATACGTTACATATTATATAAAGAAATTTGGTTAATTCGGTTATTTTGGTTAACTGAATATCTAATTTTGAAAACTGAAACTGAAAATTTCGGTTTTAACTGAATAATGCTCATCCCTATCTGCGGTAGGCATCTGCACATGCAGGGTGGAGGCTTCTGCTTTTCCCATGAAAATTAATGTTATTAATCATGTAGAAGATCAATATGTTTATTGTTCAAAAATGATGAAATGGGGAAAATTTTGACAGAGCCTGTTTCATTTTTTTTTCCCCAAAACATTCTAATAGCTAACTATTACAAATTCCAGGCACTCCACTGATCGTGAAGTCGCACTTATGATACTCATGGCTTACCTTTCTTACATGCTGGCTGAAGTAAGAACCTCTCCTTCTGGCATACCTTTCTGTAGGCCTCATGTTCAGACTCTCTATTTAGATTCCAAATACAGTATGTCTAACTGCAATTTTGGCTACTTCCATGTGGATTGCAGCTATTCTATTTAAGTGGCATTCTCACCGTGTTTTTTTGCGGTATTGTGATGTCCCACTACACATGGCATAATGTCACTGAGAGTTCAAGAGTCACTACTAAGTATGTCAAATTTCCAGAGGAATTATTTCAAAAGATTGAAGCTTTTATTGTGTATTATCATTTTTCTTGAATATAGACAAACACTTTTCCTTTACTAATTTTTTTTTGCATGTGCTAATATTTTTTTTGTAGGCATGCTTTTGCGACATTGTCATTTATTGCTGAAATATTCATCTTCCTATATGTTGGTATGGATGCTTTGGATATTGAGAAGTGGAGATTTGTAAGTGATAGGTATGGTCTGTATATCTCTGAAACATCAACCATGGATGATTAGCATTCATGCTATCATGTCTGGTAGTGGCAAACTAATTCTTTTTCTGAATTGAAGCAAAAAAAAAAAAACGAAAAAGGTTGTGTATATGGGCTGCTTAATTACTGTTATTTATTTGTTGTATATTATTTCTTAGGTTGCATGGTAGAACTGCCTGCTTTAAACAGTATTGTTTTTCTTATACATTGATCTTGTTTCTACTGTTGTGCAGTCCTGGAACTTCAATTGCAGTGAGTTCAGTATTGGTGAGCTTGATTCTGGTTGGAAGAGCTGCTTTTGTTTTCCCCCTTTCTTTTCTAACCAACTTAACCAAGAAGTCTCCAAATGACAAAATTGGCATAAAGCAGCAAGTAAGTAATTTGGATTTTTTGGGATCTTATGTTCCTTCTCTACCAACTGACATATTCAATGAAAATTTTGTGCTGCAGGTCACAATATGGTGGGCTGGCCTTATGCGAGGTGCAGTTTCTATTGCACTTGCTTATAATCAGGTATTGCAACAATTTTATTTTATTTTATTGGTATACAGAAAATCTTTCAAGGGACTGGGATTCCTTAGCCCTCTTAAGGTAACAAGGTTGTAAAAAAAAAAAAAAAAACTGGACAACCCAACCACATTATACCAAGTAGTAATAGGAGAACACAACAAATAGCTTTAGTGGTTCACCTATTTCAATATTTCTTTTGGGGTGGGGGACCAGAAGATGAAGCTGAAGGTGGAACATTGATGTAGGACAAGTTATGAGTCCTATAAATTTCAGATGTTCTGGTGGGCTTTGGGTGACCAAGGATGAAGAATAGGTATGGAGAAGCGTCTACTTCTGTCCACAAAAAAATGAGTAATATATCAGAAAGAGGGAAACTCTTGCTATTGGAGTAAACAGCAAATATCACTTGGAAGAAGAAATTGGTGATATAGGGGGGGGGGACAGAAAAAAAAAATCCTGGCAACAATCATAATTCACTAAACCAAACTTTATTTCATCAAATCAACTCTTTTTTCAATTACAATGACTTTATTCATAGGCATCATAAGAACTCGGATGTCTTACAGACTCCAATTTGGACTATGAAAATGGCCCAAAACAACTTCTAACTGTTTTAGAACTAGGATAAACCCATAGGTAACCTAGAGGGACACTCAAATAAGGACTTGAACCCCTAAACAACTCTAATAACACCTTACTAATCCTACTAAAATTAACTTAATGTAAAAAACCAGAAATTACTAAAAATAGCAAATCACGATTTTATCAAAAATAATAATTATGAGTATTACTGTGAATAAGCCAGAAAGTTACCATAAATAGTAATTTTGGTTTAATAATATCAGTAAATTTTTAGAAGTTTTAAATTTCTATTCATAGGATACCTGCAACTAGAAAATAAATTTAAAAAACTCAAAAGTGCCATATCCTTATCAAACAATTCTGAAATTGGTTTAGGAATTGGGAAACTGTTTTATTTCTCCATAGATTCTAAGTTTCTTTCCATGCCTCTGAATTTGCATCAAGAATCCTATTAAAGACTAAACCATTGATAAATGATCAGCATAAAGAAAAATTATTCCTAGATACGTCTAACTCCGAGATCATTTTTTACAAGTAATGAAATTTTAATAATAGAAACCAATATGTGCAAGCAATACAAGAATCCCTTGGAGAGGTGCAAGATGCAACCTCTCCCATCATAATAAGAAGGAAGTACAAATTACATTGAGCTCAATGCAGTTGACCCCTATTCACTCCTTGCTTAGCTATCAGCCATTGCACTAGATGACCTCCATTGTATCCTCAAAGTCATATTTCTTGCTAGCCATTTGAATTTCTTAATTTCATTCTTGTAACACCAAATTACAGACTCTGGTTCCTTCAACCGCCCCACCACCAACTTTGAGTTTTCCAGAGTCAGCTCCTTTGCAATCTGCGCTCCTTGTATTGTAGTAAGCAATTCATCCCTACGAAAGTCCCCTACTCCCACAGGACCCAAAAACAAAGCAATTACATTTCCTTTCTTTATCTCTTAGAACCCCTTCAACTCAAGAGGGACCTGGGTTGCTTTGTGCACTCCTAACAAAATTCAATTTCATGAATCCTTCAGGAGAAGGCATCCACACCAAGTTTTGAGATTACTGAAGCTTATATTATAAGGGTGTTAATGCTCTCAAGGGATGTATCCTAACATGGCTCTGTTTGTTGTAGCCTTGAGAAAATTTTATAGGTGTGGATGTTTCTGTTTCTTGCTTTTAGAGTGTGTACCTCATACTTGAATAGTTGAATATGTGATGCATGCACATACTTGTGTTATTTTTGATCCCTGTGTAGTTCACAAGATCAGGTCATACTCAACTTCATGGGAATGCAATCATGATCACAAGCACCATTACCATTGTTCTTTTCAGCACAGTGGTAAGATACCTCATGTCTTTATATCTATATTTTACATGGAGTAGATTTTGGATGCTTTTTCTTGAGCAATATTTTATGTGTGGCCTTTGATATTTTATTCAAAAAGGCACTGGTTTTAGTTTACATGTCTTTTCAAGATATATAATTTCTTATGTAGCAGTGGTAGAAGCAATCCAAGATGGTTAATTAACTCATTTTGCTAACTACTTTATTTAGGTAGTGATTTGGGCACATCCTATGTCTATGGAGGGTGCCCCTAATAATTTGAGAAGAAATGTAAGTTTTAAAATACAAAAATACCTCTTCGTGATGATTTTTATCATTAGAAACAGAAGTTTCTTCGTCTTTTCAATAGGGATATGCCCGGTTTCTCAAAATTGAGATGTGCTCAAATCACTCCCCTTTTTAGCGGTACAAAATAATTACTTTGAGAAAACTCAAAAAATTATAGCAAGAGCATAGTCATTGATTTTATATGGCACTTCATTGGATTCGCTTTATTATAGCCAATAATAAAATTTTCAAAATTTCCTATGACACTTCATTTAAGATGCAATTTTGGTGATTCTTCAAGCTAAATACATTCAGTTCATCTCATTGGATTCACTTAAAACTATATTTTTTATGTTAGTGTTTCTTCTTACTGTGTAATAACAAATTTTATTCTTATCCATTAAAACAAACTTGTTCTTTCCTCTCAGGTATTTGGTTTGATGACAAAACCTCTTGTAAGGATTTTGTTGCCTTCACCGAAACACTTGAGCAGCATTGTGTCATCGGAGCCATCAAGTCCGAAATCCTTCTTTGCACCACTCCTTGAGAATGGACAGGGTTCAGAAGTTGACATGGCTTGCACTAGTATCCCCCGCCCAAGCAGCCTGCGCATGCTCTTTACATCTCCTACTCACACTGTTCACTATTACTGGCGTAAATTCGATGATGCATTCATGCGTCCTGTATTTGGCGGTCGGGGTTTTGTACCCTTTGTGCCAGGTTCACCAACTGAACGGAGTGTACATCCATGGTAATGCAAGGAATATCAAGAGAAATATGTAAGCAATTTATCTATGGATTCTTGAGGGTGATAAGCTTCTACTGTGGAGGCTGTGTAAGTGTAGCTTAAGACTTTTTATGAGCTTTTAATTTTGTTTAAGGAAAAAGAAGAATTATTTTTTTTATTTATTTTTTCTTTGGGTCTGGGGTGGGGTTGTGTTCTATATGGGGCTGCTAGGAACTTTATCCTGGCACTGAAAAAGCAAGACGGTGTTTTGTAGCATCATGGACCCAAGTGTGTATAAGGATGTCATCTATTACATTATTATTACATTTCATTTCATCCAGACTTTTCTGTAATATTCAATTTTGTAAGATGAGTTTTTAGTGTATGAAATCATTTCTTCTCTTGGGTTCTTTGTGTTTTCTTTTGGTTTGGTGATGTATTGGTGTCTTCCATTTCTTCTTATCTAATGAATTTTGGTTTTATCAGCAGCCTGTTCTTTCCTCATAGGACCATGGAGGCATGGTTCAAAGTATCGAGATTCTTGATATAGAAAAAAAAATGTGTATCGAGAGTTTTGGTTGATCGATAACTCTTTTTTGTATATATAATTTTTTACTGATAATTTGTCAAAGTAGATGTCATGCCATCGGTTGAAAACGGTAAACTATCGATTTTTAACATAGTGGGTTCAAAAAATTGATAACTGATGCTATCTCGATAAACGTTTTAAAAACCTATCCAAAACCTGAATCCTTTTAGTAACCTAGCCAAAACCTTTCAATATCGTGCCTTTCCTGCATATAAAACCGTTTTTCAGGTTAACAGTTCGATTGCACGGATCAGTGGGTCATTCACCAATTTGGGCTTTTAAAAAAAGCGATTCACCAGCTGGTACCTTGACCAAGGTTTTTAAAATCAAACCGGATAACGAACCATTCAGGGGTCTGGTTCTCGGGTTGAATGGCTTGATTGTTTGAACCGAATGAATGACCCATTTTGACAAAAAAAATAAAAACGGCCAAAAATTACTGGATGGTTCGAATGGTTCGAACGGTTTGGCCACCTAGGTCAGCGGTTTACTAATCAAATCAACAGTTTTTGGCCAAAAAGATGGTTTTAAGGTAAAATGGAACTGGTGACCGGTTCCCGGTTTTCCAGTCTGACCATCCAGTCCGGTCCGATTTCAAAAACCATGACCCTGACCATTTCCGAGTTGAACGGCCTAACCGTTCATTTGATGACTAACTAAAAACTACAAACTCTACATATTTAATGTGTAGGCGGGTTCAAAAAAATGCCAGGAATTAGTATCGCCGTTGACAATGCCAGGAATTATGGGCCCATTTGGTTGGATGAATTGGAATCTCATTCCCATTCTTGGTGGAATGACATTAGGAAATGACTATTCTCTCTCGGAAGTCTCATTTAAGTTGATTCCAGTTCTCATTCTGATTCCTGTCTGAACTGGGCTACGGGAATCAAGGATTAAAGTTCCGTTACGTATCATATCAGAGCCTTCCCGATACATCCCTACAGGAGGTGTTTCGGGTTGGCGAGTGGTTCAGGGGGTAAATCGGCCTTAAACTGGCCCCTCCTTTCCAAAAAAAGAAAAAAACATTAAAAAACAGTATTGATACAAAGCCGATATGCCTTACCGGGGTATCCGCATGTGTGGTAACCGGTGAGAATGGACAATTGGACATGACATAAGAAAAACACAGCATAAGGCAAAGCGGACATGGATTCCACCTTGTGTAGTCGTAGAAGAGTTGTTCGCTTATTATATGACGTTCGACAACGATGCTTGGATTACTTGATGCGTTTATTTTTTATTGAGGAATCCATTTTGCAGATTCCGTTTTCTCATCTTATCAGTGTTCTTATACCACATCGGCTGCAGCAGCTGATTTGTCAAACTACCTCAAGAAAGAGAGCATGAGCTGTATCATTCGTGATTTTCGTGTTCAGAACATTCTACAAGCTCAAATAGAGAGAGCTTCCTGGAAGGCTGGAAACGACGGCCACGGAGAGATTTTTCAAAGTAATTTATGTGATAAGCCCTGATATCTCCATGCCAAGAATGTGCAAAGCCAAGTACAAATAATGTCATGTCACTACGTCAGCCTGATTTTTAATAAATCATAATCGTTTGGAAAACAAAAAAAAAAATTGAAGCTCCCCTAAACCTATGCTTAGTTTGGAAGAAAAAGCAATTTTGAGGAGTCATTTCCTCCCACCAGACATCCACTACCAGAAAAAAACAATTTTGTACTGAAAATGTAACCCTTCACGTCCAGACACCAGACGACTATTATGGAAAATTTTAATCTATTTATTTTCCTTTTTSTCTCTCCATTTAATTTTCTTCAGTCGGCAGTTCATTCATCTCTCACTCCTCTTCTCTTCCACGTGCAGTTGCAAGAATTGACCAAACTTTGGAATCAAAAGAATTTCTAGAAACATCTGAAAATTCTCAAAAAAGAACTATAAACCAGTATCAGTACATATTAGCTTTTCTATACATTTTTTTATAAATAACAAAAGATTTCATTAATTAGAAACAAGAATACAAAAGGTGGAAATGACCCCTCTTATCTCCCCCAAATAAGAAAAAACATTGCAGAAAAATTACGGTTGAGACCAAAACAAAACACCCCTATTTACCCATTGTTTTGCTAACCTATCAGCAAAGGAGTACTTTAACATCCATGTCTTTTGTCAGCCACTTGATTTTTTTTTCCTTTTTTTTTTCTTTGAAACATTCTCTTTAAAAATTTCGCTTTCCTACCTCCTTCTATATATGATCTGGTTGCACTGGCTGAACTCTTGGTGAAGAAAATAAGCAGCTCTACAAAAGTGGCTTCATAGTACAATGAAATGAAAAGATGCCCATTTGCACATATGACTAGGGCTGTCAATTGGACTGGATTTGGTCCAATCCGATCCAGTCCAACATGGGTCCATTTACAAATGGACTGGACCGATTGGACCCAATCCAATCCAAATTAAATGAAACATGAATTTTCTTCTCCTGACATTACAACTTCACTCAAATGCCCTCATTTTCTTATCCTTTTCCAACATTTCTTTATCTAAGTTAAACAAATAAATCCTGAATATCATTCTATGCAATTGAGTCATGGGTATCTTTTATATTTTTCATTGGGGTTTTGGCCCTTTTATCAAAATACGAATGTACCTGGATCGGCATAAAAATGAGTTACACTATTCCAGTTTTGAGGTGGTCACTGGGCATATTAAAAATTGAATGAAAGGTCTTCCAACATATTAAAGATTGAAAAACAATTCCTTTTGAGGTGGTCACTGGGCATCACTCCCCAAATGGAAGCATGGGATTGACCTTGCAGAATTACAGGCTCTCCATGGTATGGCCAGTGGACCTGATGTGCACCCTGCAATATCCCCACCTGAGTTCCTGCTAACACTAACCTGCTAGTTACAGGTCTAGCAATATCCCCACATGGGGGCCAAAGCCACATTATAGATCCAAAAACAAGTAAAATGAAATTTGTTAATGAATTATATGATGAGGAGAACCCTTTAATGGAAAGCAAGCTTCTTATAGAAAGGAACAAAAAGATCCAATATGTTGTCAATGGCAAGCATGAAGCAAGGGCCAATAATCTGCTCCAGAGAATGATTGATCAGTTTATTCAAACTCCAGGTGCAGCATGGAATTTGAAAACACTAAATGAAAAACTGTAAATCATAATATAATGAAAATGTTCAAACAATTAAAACTAAACATTATCCCAGATAAATGCCATCCACCACATGAATCCTATTTTGCTATTCTACTTTACCGAGGGCAATACATATGGTAAGTTCTGAATCATAAGAATGCATGATACATGCATATGAATAATTGATATATGGCTATGTGAATGTAGTTTTGGTGGACACTACACACTATTATTCAAAAAGAAAATAAAAACTGGAATTTGATAGTAACTAGTGGTAATTAAAAAAATAAATAGATACATATGCTGATTCAGAATCAATTTCAACGAGTAGAAGATTGTGAATTACTTCACTAAGAAAATTCTCCTTTCTAAATCAGCAAACAATGAGTTACACTATTCCATTTTTTGTTACAACTAAAATGATGAAGGGAAACAAAATGTTTTCCTCAGAAAATAATACTCAATAAGGAATTAATTATTTCCCTAATTCCCCAAAAAATAAACAAAATAGTTTCCATCTCCATCTGCAATCAAACACCAAAAGAATATCATTTCCTAAAGAAATTGTTCATATTAGGAGGACCACATTCCTGGTGCAACACTTGGACTTCACCAGCTTAGCCATTTGATCAAGTACCATCAAGAGGATGGATGAACAGCTGCAACCAGAGAATAAAAAATCTGAAACCACATTAACCGTTCTCCAAACCACCCGAAAGAAGTTGATGTAGTATTTTCCATATAAAGGAATTCTTACGGAATGTTCCGATGTTATGAATCCATTTGCCGGCCAGTGGGTGATGCACCGGTTTTCCACAAACCTAAATAGAGGTTGAGCAAATACTTGAGAATAGCAGATTTATTAGGTTACAAACATGCATTACAGAACAAATTAATGTAGCTTTCAAAGTTAAAACGAGAGTGTGACCTAGTAAGCTTTCTGATTGATTTTACTTGACTTTGGGCTTTTGCTTTTTCTCTTACTTGGCCCAGGTAGTGAGGTAGGTAAGAAGTTTTCACCTTTGGGTTGTGATTATCCAGCCCCTTAAATATGATAAAAATTGCAGCATCTAAGTGCTCCAGAAAGCAGAAAAATAAAAAAAGGTGTTGATTCACTAACTATCCTTCAATTAGACACATCAGAAAAGGGTAGAACAATTCACTATTTGTAGAGTTGTCTATAAGGCAATATTGAGAACAGAATTCCTAATGGTTATTCAGTACAAAACTTTGGAAGGCAATGAAATGGAATTTGCACCATAGCAAGGGTAAAGACAGAAAGAACAAAAAATCACTGTTCGACTTGGGGCTACACAACAAGGCTAGAAGCACGAATACCAATCATAGGGGAAGAAGGGGTGGATATTGATCAGAATTTTTCTCATGAGATCCAATATAAATGTTATCAAGCTATGCTCGGAGAGACATTAAATTGTGAACAGTTACCATGTATGAGAAATGGAAGACAAACATTTTAATGATACAGGAGACAAAGATGTAGCACATTAACTCCCCCACCATCCAGTGTTTGGAGTCAAAAACCTTTTGATTGGTCCCATAAACCCACTCTCAGGCATGCCAATGGTGCTGGTTGTTTGGGACAGTAGCAAAGTAACTAAGGTCATCCACAGGACTGGAGAGTATTCTGTTTTGATCGAAGTGGAACTTGAAGATGGTTTCCTCTGCCTACGGCACTAATGATGAGAATAATCATGCCCTCTTGTGGGAGGAGTTGGACAATGTAAGGAGAAGGTGGACACTTGACACTTCCATGGTGCATTGGAAGCAATTTCACCCACAAGAATAAGGGAGGTACATGAATAACTCAGGCATGAAAGTTTTGCAGCTTTTGTCAATAAGATAAACTGGTGAAGACCCAATTATGGAAAAGCTTGAAACGAAAATTTAGGTCTCTCTCTCTCTCTCTCTCTCTCTCTCTCTTACGGAACTAGTCCAACTACGTCACTGAAATGGAAATTTATATTAGCTTTATTGGTTGTAGTTGGAGTTGGATTTCTCAGGCAGAGTCTCTCCTAGTCCAAGAGTTTGAAACTAACTACTAACAAGACATTCATTCTCTCTTGTACAAACCCATTATTGTCCAAATAATCTTCTATTTTAAGTTGGATTTTTATTTGAAATTTCCCCTCACTTTTCCCCTGATTCTTTTAATCTTATCCTGAGTTCTGAATACCTCCACAGGATTACTATATTACCCCTCCCTCTGTTTATCTCTATCCGTTAAACCAGAACACCATGACATTCACTTGATCTAAGGCTGTCAATAGGATTTCAAATTTGAACTGGCAGATCTTCAAATTTGATCGGATTTTGGTTAATTCATATACCCCTTTTCTCTAATTGAATTGGATTCGACTTTTGATGAATCTGATCCAAAACCGATCTGTTACAACCTGGACTTATGAATGACAGAGTTAAGCTTTGGGCAAGTCACAAAATATCTCAATTTTAAATGAGCTTAAGACAATTCTTCTGATGGAATTGGTTGCTTGTAATTAGGGGTAGCAACTTTGAAAGTCGAAGATCCAATTATCTCAGATTCATCAGATGAACATTTTAAATAATCACATTGGATTTGGATTTTATATAATCTACACCCAATCACTTGGATTAAATAATCACATCAGAGAGAGAAATCACATCAGAGAGAGAGAGAGAGAGAGAGAGAGAGAGAGAGAGAATAATTTTGATTTTTTTCCTGTTTCAGTCTAAAGTTTTTTTTAATTTTTTTTATCATTGAAGTTTTCTTACACTTTCACTAGAGAATAACTTATGATTATCACTCAGATAAAGCTGAGGGCCATCATAGCTTAAATTCCAAGACGGATCAAGGCATACAGAAGCCATTTGACATAATTTATGCATCAACAAGCATATATGTTATATTACTTCAGCTCATGGCAGTTCTGTCACCTTATTTCAGATAATATGCATGGAAATTTTAACAAGAGAATCAAGATTTGTAAGCTCCATCACTCATAACAAGACTACAATACAAATTTCATGTAAAAAGTAAACACTTGGCCCACTAAATAAATTGATGCATTTTCAAACTGAAACGAAATCTCATATGAGAAAATTGGAAATATCACCAGGATTCTCAAAGCCAGAACAGAGAGAGCATGTCACAGGTAAAAAAAAGATTAAGAGAACTTCAATCCAATCCACTGTCCTATTGGACTTTCCAACCTGGACCAAATTGGACTAGTCCAATCCAATCTAAATGGTATTGATTTGTTTCCCATTAATTAAGATAAAGCAAATATAAAGTCATAGTACATACAGTAATTTCTAGTTTTCTACTTAAACAATAAATAAATCATAGCATGAGAGTCTAAAGCACATTAATTTTATATCTTATCTAGCTAGCAACGAAAGTTGTTTCTGCCTCTGGTTGCCTTGTTCAAAGCTAATAAACCCCCACTAAGGCCATGGTCATGTCTGCGAATCATTCCCAACTCATGAATAAGAGGAAAAAGTGCCCTTGATTGCTAGGCTATTTTCAATTGGTCTTATTCTTGAACCTAAAATACAAATGTGTTGTTAGACCCTGAAAATTAGAACCCATTTTCTCACCAATTTGTATTGATGAAGCCATGAATAAACCCAAAAAGCTTCAGGGATAAACAGCAATAGTAACAAACACAAACATCAATAGTAACAAACACAAAAATTGAGGATTTCATTTTTTTTAAGGAAAACTAAACTATTACCTATTTCCACCTGAGAGAGAAGAGCGAGAAAATCCTTGCTTCAAACCGCCAAAGAGAAGAGCCACTTGATGGACGACGACCGGAGAGAATGCTTTCCACAGAGAGAATCCTGTTCCAGTCTTAAAGATTTCCAGAGAAGAGCTGCTGGAGTTTCCTCGAACCGCTGAAGAGAAGAGCCACCGGAGAGAATGCTTTCCACAGAGAGAAGAGCCGCTGGAGAGAATGCTTCAAACGCTCGAACAGGTTTCCGGAGAAGAGTTACTTCAGACAACTGCCGAAAGTTTCTTGTCTGGTTTCGATTTTGGTTTTGAATTTTTGATTCAAATAGGTAGGGTTTGGCGAATGGCGATTGAACTATTGGGTTTTGGTTTTGGGCCGATTCAAACCAATAATAATATGGGCGATTTTATTTTGGGTTGGCCCAACCCAATAACTATAATGGATTGTCCAAAATAGACTTGATAAGATTTGGATCGGTTTGGATCCAACCCAAAACCGTCCAATTGACAGCCCTACATATGACGCAGACTTGTCATTTGGTAACCTCTTTTATTCAAAGTACCTGTTGTGAGAATGTCATCAATAGCAAGTGAGCAACTTACCGTGGAAGTCCCGTATGAGCTCTAAGAATATCCTGGACCTTCAGGCTGCATTGGCATGCTTTTGTGATTCTAAGAATCACCTTCATGTTTGGATTTATGGAAATTGTCAGAACTAGTTCTTGTCCTAGGTTCAATTCATTCTAAGAATTTATTCTTTGAAAAAAAAAAAAAAAAAACATAGTTTCATAAAAGAATCATTGGCTCAGAACTCGTACTTCAGAGTGATGGGTTGCAATCAATTCCAAACAGGAAACCGCTTCTTGAGTTCTTTTGGACATTTCACTATCAGTACTAGGAGATTTCACCAAGGTACCACGCTGATTGCACATTTGATGGATTGCAATTAAGGGTGTCAATGCACCGGTTTTGGATTGGACCCCATAAGTCCAAAATCAATTTGGACAGACCAACAAGACATATTGGATTGGACCAATCCAGTCCAAAATATTTATTAGATTGTATTAGATCTGGTTTATCGGTAATAAATTTATATTGGATTGGGTTGGATTAAGCCAATATCTGGTCCATTAATATAAGATAAGAATATAGGTGTCAATGGACCAGGTTTGAGTTGAAACCAATCTAAATCAAAATGAATTTGAACAGATTGAATGGTCCAGACATTGAATTGGATTGGTCCAAAATATTCATTGGATTGGATTGGACCTGATCTATTTATAATGGACTCACGTTGGACTGGATCGGATTGGACCAAATACAGTCCAATTGACACCCCTAATTGCAATCTATTCCAAACAGGGTCATATCATTTATTCAGAGAAGCAGAAAGAACAATGGCAGGTGAACACCCATGAAAGAACTGGATAGCTGTAATAGATTTCAAACAAAATGTGAAGTCATGAAGATAAAAGGAAGTATTTTATGGTGCTTATCATTGCAAGTTATCCTACAGTTGGCCCCTTCATTTGGTTCTCCTGTTGGGGAAATAGAACTATGGACAACTGAAACAATCGACTCATAAAGAATAAATAAGCAAACAGAAGCATTAATGAAGTAGATTGATTCCATTAAGACAAATAAGGATTTTTTATCAAGAAGATAAAAAAAATATTTCTTCAATTGAAAAAAAAAATTGGCCAAATGTAGCTTTGTGGGGACTACTCTTCAACACAATAAAATAGAGCATGGCAATGTCCTAGGGTGTGAGATTAAATCTTGGCCAATTAAATATCTGGGGCTGCCTCTTAGGGAGAAACTCATGAGAGGCATCCTTTTGGGACAGGGTAATTGAGAGATGCTCAAAGAAGTTAGTGGCTTCTTTATATGTTTTTAGGGCCCCTTTAAAGGTGGTAAATAGAAAGGAAAAAACCACAAGGGATATTTTGTGGGATCTAGGCCATGATAGGAAATATTATCTAACAATTTGGAATATGGTGTATTATAGGAGTAGAGAAGACGGTGGATTAGGTTTAGGGTGATTAAAGGATAAAAATATAGCTTTTTTGGGGAATTGATTATGGGGGTTTCCTATGGAGAGAGTAATTGTAGCATTTGGTGATTGAAAGCATCCATGGACTGGACTCAAACAGGTGGGGTTCTGCATTTAATAGTGTGATAGAACAAGAATTAGAAGAAATTGATGTCTTTCTATTGAGAAAGTAGTACATATATATACAACCTTGTAGATACTAAAAAGGAAGAAAAYCATACAGCCTTGCAGATACAAAAAAGGAAGAAAATCATACAGCCTTGCAGATACAAAAAAGGTAGATACTAAATAGGAAGAAAATCAAAGAAAGAATAATTCCTATAATAAAGCTATTCCTAATTGGGCTAATACTACATATTTATAGCCTATAATTTCGTAACAAATAGAAACAACACTCTTGTTGAGTTTTGGGCAGATTTGTTCAGAATTAGTAGTTGTTTTTCTTTATTTATTGTTTAGATAGGAAGTGGGGACCACAACACTCTTGTTGGGTCCCTTTTCAGTGGTTCTTTTAAGTTATATATGCAGTTTTATGTGTTAGCCGCCCTATAAGGGCATTATAGTCATTGTACCCTTTTTTAATTAAAAGTAAAAATGCTAGTTTGGAGGGCGGCCAGAATATTGCTCTTTTTTCTTTCTCAATTTCTTCTCTTCTCTTTCTCTTCTTCTTCTTCTTCTTCTTCTTCTTCTTCTTCTTCTTCTTCAAGAAACATTTCTTTCTTTACAGATTCTTTGGTTCAACAGTTTTCTACTTGTTATCAGAGCAAGACTAGGGTTTCTTGGAGTTCTTCCATGCAGACCTAGATCAGATAAATGGCTGATCGATCTACTTTAGACTGCCCAGTTCTTGGATTTTTTGGTGGGTTTCAGTCATCAAGAGGGTGATCTGTGTTTTGGCATCAAAATCAGGAAGAACTGGAGTGTGTGGGGAAGAGTCATAGTCAAGTTGGACTCTTCAATTTTGATCTGATATTGGGCGTTTGGGCCTTGTTGGACTTCTCTAGGTTTTATATAGGGGCGGTATGGTTTCTGGGAGTTTCTGAGCCCTCTAGAGTGATTGATTCACTTTTTTCTCAGGTGAGAGACGGTGGGAGAAGAGGGGTTTCTCTCCGAATAGGCTTTTCTCCTTCTGGAAAGGTTTGTTACCCTTTTCGAGAGTCCTTGGAAAGCCATCATATCACTACTTCCTACTCTTCTACAGAACATCCATTATGATGCTATATCTGGTGGGAAGACTCCTTTAAGCCAAACCTTTCTAATAATTTATAATCTATCTACCTTCAAACACTAGGCCATTGCTGAATTTGCTGGTCAAGATAACCTTGGTTTTTCTTAGAACCTAGGTCTATGAAGGGGATTAAGAGACAATCAAATTCCCAAGCTTGTGTGGTTGTTAGATACTCAAAAGAGGTCTCTTTCATTTCTTCTGGCTCTAGGGTGGATGAGAGAGTTTAGGGTCCAAGTATGAGTGGCTATTTTTATTGTGCTTCTTTTTTTGAAACATTGTACCAATCCAACCTCATTCACCCTTTTCCAGTTGAAGTCTTGTGGATTGGCTTTGTACCTCCTAAAGTAATGGTTTTTTTGTTGAGAGGTAGCTAATATGATATACATGTTATTGTATCCAGAATAAGTGGAAATCCTGGTGTATCCCAAATCACGTGAGATGAGAATCAATCATCTAATATCAAATTTAAAATCAGTGATTAACAGTACAAATCAGATCTGAATGATAGTGCAAGAGCTGTGTATGTCGAAGAGAAGAGGTAAGAGAAGAAGAAGTCGAATTAGTCTTCCTTCTCCTCTAACCCTATTTTTATTAATCTCTAAAAACAAATTGATGATGACAAGTATACCCTTAAGTGGGTGGCCAGCTTGACAGTTA